TTAACACCTCAGGTGTGGCCGGGGCCCAGCCCTGGATGTGAAAATCACCAAGGGAGCCTGTCAGCAGATCTGTGGGCACTCAAAACATTTCCTTCTTCTTCAAGCCTTGGTTTTGAACCAAGGCCAGACTCTCTCCCTTGAAGGCCAGCAGCAGGAACACAGCAGCCCTCTTGGGCGGCTCTGCGGGTGGCTGTCCCCCTTCAGGCTGTGCTCTGGGCTTCTTTCTACACATGTCCTGCCGCCTATAAATCAAGAATCTGCCTTGTCAGAGCTTTGCTTCCAGTGTGCCCTTGAACTGCAGGCATGTGAGCAACGTTTTCAAGGTTCACACGCCCGCACCTTCTTCTTGAATGTGAACCCACTTTTAGTAACACTTGGAAGGGGCCCCTATTAGCCATGAATTTGGTGCAAGTTGGGGAAGAAGAAAGAACTCATTCAGGACTGGGGAGATGCTCAGTTGGTTCTTGCCTTGCAAGATGAGGACCTGAAGTTGATCCCTCCCCAGAAGCCACATAAAAATGCTAGGCATGGTGTTGAGTACTTATAACCAGAATGCTGGGAGACAGAGACAGGAAGGTCCTGCGGCCTTGCTGGCAAGCCAGTCTAGCCTCATTGGTGAGTTCCAGGCCAACCAGGAAGGCTGTCTCAAAGGAGGTGAGTGGGGTTCTTGAGGGTGATGCCAAGGCTGTCTTTTCATCTCCATATTGCACCTAAACAGTGTGCACACTTGTGCACTGGACCACACATAAACACCCACACACATGCACATAAATGTGCATGTTCAGGTCTGCAGTGAAGGAGAGACCCGGTGCTGTGTCTCTGGCCAGCTCCCTAGTCTTCCACCTCCTGCCTAAGAGCCTTTGTCCCTGGAATTCACACACAGGCTCTGGTGTCAGATCAGTGGGCACACCAGCCTCTGCCCTTGAGGCACATGCCACCTTCCTCAGCCTCCTCTTTCTCCCCTGAAAGTGGACATAAAATAATAATTTCACCAGGAAGTCAAGATGATACGAGATGACTGACAGCGCATCTCCTGTAGGGTGCTGAGGTTCTCAAAGGGCTGGACTCAGGGCAGCTTTCCAGGCTGCAAACAAAGGTGCTGTGCTAGGTCAGGGGCAACAGCTGCCAGACATGTGATATCTACGGAGGACACCCTGTTCTCAACAAAGCACCTGTGCCCCCGGGAACCCCAGAGGATCATCTCCCAGGGTACCCACAAATGCTCCTCTCCTGTTCAGTGGGGCATTCTCAGTGCTGACAGCTGTGGCCGGGAGCTGGACTGGGTGCCCCCTGCTGACTGGATGAATACTCCATCTGCCAGATGTTCAGACAACCTGTAAACCTGCACTCCACTGTGGGATTTCAGTGCTGATTAGCATCATTTAACCCCATGTGGTCCAAAGTGAGCACACTTGCAGGCTGGATGCCACTTGTCTGTCCAAACCACACTGCCCTCTCCAGGAAGGCCCTGGGCTGGGCAATGATCACAGTCATCACACTGAGGTCCTACTCCCAGGCTCTAAGAACTAGGTTGCTTTTCAGTTTTGCATGTATCTTCATCTGGGCTGTTCCTCAGCCTCTCCAGTGCAGGCATGAAGGCTACCCATCCCCTACCTCCCACACATCTGGGGGTCATTGTGCCTTCTTCGCCACTCCATGACACTGACCTTGGCCTTTGGCTCACTGACTCTCTCCTTCCCTGGCCCTAGCAGTGTCTTCTCTGATGGTGGGCCTTGCAGACAGCCCACCCCACCTGACAATTTCTTTAAAATTTGTATTTATTTCAAGTATATGAATGTTTTGCCTGTATGTATATAAATGTACCATATGTGTGAAATGCCCACAGAAGCCAGAAGAGGGTGTCGGATCACATGAAACTGGAGTTACAGGAAGTTGGAGCCACCATGTGGGTGCTGGGAATCGAACCCAGGTCCTTTGCAAGAGAATCCAGCACTCTCAACTATGGACGTGCGCACTCTCTCTGGGCGCACTTCCCCGAATGGCACTCCCCCGCCGTGTGTCTGGAGGAAAGCTGGTCTGGTCCCGGGGGCTTCTCCGTGTCTCTATGGGCCTCAGGCGTTGCGTGCGTGGATATCTCGGGGTCGCTCTGGGCCCCTGTATCTCAGGGCCCCTGCCACACCTGGCTAGTCGCTGGCGGGTCTGGCCACAGGAGTCTCTGGCCACGGCTGCGGATGCCCCGCAGCCTTTTCCCGGGGGCTCGGTCCCGTGTCTCTGGAGCTTCTCTGCTGCAGAAGCGTTGTTCTGCCAATCCTGTCCCTAATCCACCCGTGTACTCTTCCTCAGGATGCGAGGTCCACTGGCCACTTGGGCCTCGCGGGAAGAAGTACGGGGACAGCGAAAGCTAGAATGTCCGTAAGCTGGTCACGAGGGAGTGCGCCCCCCGGAGAGATTGGGCCGCCGGTAGTGACACAAGACTCAAGACTTAGTCTGTGTTACAGCTTTATTCTCTGAGATCCAGCTCCCTGTGTCCCAGCTCTCTGCGACCCAATTCTCTGCAGCCCAAATCTCTGCAGCCCAAATCTCTGACCATTAAGAGAAGACTAAGGCATTTATACCATGGGGGTAGTGGTAAAAGCTTTGGCTGTTAGATGCTTTGTGAGGCATCCTATTTACATATGGAAGTGGATTTCTGCCACACTGCTAGACTGTTGTCTGCCTGGAGAAATTACAGGAAGGCATGGTACCTTTCAGAGCCAAAGGCCATGATGGCATTTGTGGCGGACACTTCAAAAGGAGAGACAGGAAAGATGCCAGGAAGACACCCCGCTATGAAAGGAGCCCGCAGCACATAATCCCGAGCTACATGAGCTGTCCGGTGTGAAGGGGCTTCGACTTTGCATAACAGAGGCTCCCAACACTCAACCACTGAGCCATCTCTCCAGCCCTGACTGTGCAAGTCCTTGAGTGCGGTTTCCTCTCTCCTTCGTTATACTCCGCCCGCTGTGCCACAGCCCCTCCTTTTCATTCTGGGAGGCTCTCCTCCTGGGATGCTCACAAACATCATGCTCTGAGGCTGCAGTTTCCTGTCTTTCTGGTTCTGGGGTCCAGGTGTTCCCCACGCTTGCCCTTCCCCCTACTCTCGTTTGGCTTTACAGCATCCTCCAAATGCCCACATGGTAAAGGCCTGGTCACCAGCCCCTGGTGCTCCTGGAGGTGGGGCCTGATGAAAGGGAGTTAGGTCTTGAAGGAGATATTGGATCCAGCCCTTCTGGTCTTTCTTTGCTTCTCAGCTGCGGTGAGGTGAGCACTTCCTCCACCACATGCTCCTGACATGATGCAGTGTTTGGCAATAAGCCAAAGCAACAAGGTCAACCAACCACAGATTGAAACCTCAAGACTGTGAGCTGAAACAAACCTTTCTCCTTGCTATGTTGACAATCTCAGATACTGTGTCACAGTGAGGGAAAGCTGACTGCTACGTCTCCTAGGCTTACTTCCTACTCCCTGCCCCTAGCTACTCCATGCAGGCTGACGCTACCCCCAACTTCCTAGAACTATGGCTGTCTGCTAAAATCCAACTCAAGCACAATCCAAGTGTCTGCCTTTTGGGACCTGCCAAGCATCAGTAGAGTAAATTTGCACCACAAAGTCTGCATTGCAGATTCTGTGGCGCCTAGCAGGATGCCCAGAATAACCCTCCTGCTTCTTGTGTGATTTCTCTGCTGATGGCCCATTAAAGCCTCACCCAACACATGTGTTTTCCTCCAGGCTCAGCCTCTGTGACCTGCCCAGCCTCACCTTCCTCCAACCCGTCCCTCCTAACCCTAAACCCCACTGCTCTGGGTTTAGCTGGCTTCTTTCATCTGGACCATACCTTCCTTCTCCCTATTTTGCCTGGCCAACTGTGAAGTCACCGGGAGTCAGGCTATGTCTCTTCCCTCAGAAGCCTTCACTAATGGTCCCAGTCAGGGTCTCCCACTCTGTGCTCTCACACCCATTCTCTTACCTGGATGGGTCTCCTGACCTGTGACACGCTCTTGGAGGCGGAGGTTCTGGGATGCTCCCTGCTGGATCCTGGAGTCAAAGAGAGCTTGGACAGACACTCGCCTGCACTCTGGGAAGTGGCCTGTGCCTTCCCACCTCTGGGGCTGAGTGCTTCTCCCAACCCTTCTTCTCTGTCTCATGGGCCCCCAAATCCACCCTGCATGGGACATCAGCTCCTAGCTTTACCCTTCACCGCATCCTTTCCAACCCAAGGAGGAACAGATTCCCCTTCCTTCTGAGAGCCCAGCTGCCAGGTATGTAGTAGGCATGCGGAATGTCTCATCTCTGATTTAGAATTGTTTAGATCTATGCAGGCCCCTTGCAGACAGGATCTACAGTGATACTACCTCTTCTTCCGTCAGTTAGCTTACGACAGTCAGGACGAATGGATGGGCAGTGAGAGACCCTTGCTTGGTGCTCATATGGGGCTTCCTGGTGCTAGAACAATAAGCACAAACTCGGAATGAGAACACAGCTTTATTCTCTCATAGTCCTGGAGACCAGGGCTAAAGCCAATGTGTTGGCTGGGCTGGTTCTTTCTGGAGGCCCCAGAGGAGCAGGAATGTCTGTCTTCTTGCCTCTTTCAGCCTCTAAAGGTGTCTTTGTCGCCCCTTCTTTGCATCACTCTGACTACAGCTTCAGTCTTTGCATTCTGACCGTCCTGACTCCCTTCTTTTAAAAAAATCTTATTATTTATTTAATTGGGTTTTTTTGTGTGTGTGGTGGGTTTTTTTTGTTTGTTTGTTTGTTTTTGAGACAGGGTCTCTCTGTAGCCCCAGCTGGCCTGAAACTCACTACGTAGACCAGGCTGGCCTTGAACTCACAGAGATCCACCTGCCTCTGCTGGAACTAAAGGTGTGCACCACCACGCCCCGCTATTTATTTAATTGTTATGTATACAAGTGTTTTGTCTGTGTGTATATAAGTATACTGTGTGCATGCAATATCCGTGGAGGTCAGAAGAGGGTGTCAGATCCCCTGGAACTGGTGTTACAGACGGTTGTTAGATCCCATATGGTTGTTGGGAACCAAATCTAGGTCCTCTGCAAGAGCAAGCCAGTGCTCTTAACAGCTGAGTCATCTCTCCAGTCCTAGAAACAGATTTTAAAAAATTCTTTTCTAACTCCTTTTTTACAAGGACTCCTGAAGATCCCTAGTTTACTCTTGCCTGCAAGGTCTTCTTACCCCGTTAGTAACATTTACCGGATGTCTTTAGGGGCCAATCAGATAGTCTTTATGATGTCAGAGGTAGTTGGTTAAGACACCAAGCTTCTAGGCTCACTGCCATTTAAACTCCGCCAGAACAGTTGAAAGATTTCTTTCCTATGGGAGGAGGACATGGGTGTGAGATTCTTAGGGGTACATCTTTTGTAAAGTTCCCACACCTTGATCCTGAAGAGCCGGCCAGCAAAGACATAAATGACTGGGTTCAGGCAGCTGTTGATGAAAGCAAAGAAGTTGGCCAGCTGCAGGCCCAGGTCTGTGAGTTCCTTCCAGAAGCAGCTCTGAATGGCTCGCACCTGGACAAGAAAATCCAGGAAGGCAAAGAAGTGGTAGGGAGTCCAGCAGACCAGAAAGGTGCCCACCAGTGTGAGGATCAGCCCTGTGGTCTTGCTACCCTTGGGAACCCCACATCTGGCCCTGCTGGGCGCCTCCCGCCCTCGTAGGGAAGCCAGGATGTGGTAGTTGAAGAAGATGATGGCAATCAGAGGAAGAAGGAAACTTAGCACGTTCAGCTCCACCATCCTGGCAAAGTGCCAGGCCTTGTGAGGGAACAGCAGGATGCAGGCGGAGATGTTCAGTTCAGGGATGGCTTTGACGGAGCGCAGCAGGAATGTGGGGATGCTCAAGAGGCCCCCTGCTAACCAGATGAGTAGGCAGGTGGCTTGGGCTTGCCGCCGGCTACGCCACCCCCGGCTGGCCATGGGGTGCACCAGCACCCTGTAGCGGTCCTGACTGATGGCCACCACCAGGAAGATGCTGATGAACAAATTGGCCTTGATGACTCCGCTGACCACACGACAGAGGTCGACTCCAAAGGGCCAGTTGAACTGGTTCCCGACATTCTCTGCCCAGAAGGGCAGGCCCAGGACAAACACCAGATCGGAAGCTGCCAGGTTGGCCAGGTAGATTTCTGCAACCTTGAGGCGCCTCCGAGGCAGGAGAAAGAGACACAGGACTGAAAGGTTCCCCAGGAGGCCGAAGAAGCAGATGGTGATGACGAATCCGGGAAGTACCCTGTACAGCAGGGCCCAGGCTTCAGGAGCACCCTCACAGGAGGTGGCATTGGGCAGGGCCAGCTGGCTTTGGTTGGAGGCCTGTGGCTCCAGCAGAAACTGGGACGCCATCCACAGTGACCTGAAATGGACAGAGCACAGGATGACACGGGGCCCAACTTTGGCCTACAGGCCAAACCCAGCCTGCTGTCTGTTTTGGACAATAAAGTTTTATTGGCACACAGCCATACCCATGACTAATTGACATAATCTGTGGCTATTTTCATGTTATGGTGGCAGACTGGAGTGGGTGCAGCACAGGCTGTGTGGCCTGAAAAGCTGTTCATCATCTGCTCCTCTGGAGGAAGAGTGGCCTGCTCTGTAAAGTGGGGAAGAATGGGCGGCACTTTGGACCTGAGTTCAAATGCTGCTATGACTCCTTACTGACAGTGACTTAGACCCGTTGGCTTTTCCTTTCCTTAAAAAAATAAAATGGAGGGGGCTGGAGAGATGACACAGCGGTTAAGAGTACTGGCTGCGCTTGTAGAAGACCCACATTCGTATCACAGCACCCACATGGCGGCTAACAACCATCCTAACTCCAGTTCCTGGGTATCCAATGTCCTCTTCTGTCCTCTGTGGGCATTGCATGACACGGGTACATACATACATGCAGGCAATACACTCGTACACATAAAATAAAAATAAATAAGTTTTTAAAAAATAGAGTAGAATCGTTTTGAGGATAGTGATAGCATCCACGGAGCGCTCAAAAGAAATGCTCGGTAAGTGCAAGGCAGCACTTAGTTCATTAAGGACCAGATTATTGTGGGTGATAAAGAGTTACCAGCCAAGCATGGTAGCGTACTCCTGCAATCCCAGTTCTTGGGAGGCTGAGGCAGGAGGATCATGAGGTCCTGACCAGCCTGGGCTACGTAGAAATAGTCTGTCTCCAAGCAACTTCCCTTCTCCACCAAAAGCAAAGCAAACAAACAAACAAACACCTAAGGGTCTAGCTCGGTGACAGAGAGCTAGCCTAGCAGGTACAGTTCCTTGGGTTCCATTTTCAGTAACACACACACTCACACACCAAAACGAAACAGAGTTCAGCAAACACTTAACGAATGCCTACTCTGCCTGAGCTTTGCAAGGCACCAGAGACAGAAAAGGGCACTCCAGCTCACGGTGCTCCTTATCTGGAGAACACAGTCATGAAGCCCATGTTGTCGACTAGCACAGAGCACACAGGACTCAGAGGGGCACAGCTGCCAAGAACTGGCTGTGGGGACGGGGACAGCAGAGTGAACAGGGATGGGCAATGTGGAAGACTTCCAAAGGAGAAGTGCTTTCTTCTAGGCTGGAAAACTTGAGCAACAGAACAAGGGAAATGACCAGCACGTTATTGAACGCTGGTCTGTGTTTGGGGTACTATTCTGGCTGACTCACATTTAATTATTTTCTCATTTGATCTTCATAGCAGCTTTGTAAAGAAAGGGCTATTGTCAACCCCTTGACCAATCAGAAAACTGAGCACTGAGACCCTGAGTCACTTTTCTAAGGTCACATAGTTTGCCATGGTGGAGCCTGAATTGGAACCTGGGAGATTAGATTAATGGAGGTGGGAAGATCATCTCCCCTACATGTGGATGGCACTACTCCATGGGCTTGAGCTCTGGACTGAATAAAAAGGTGAAAGGGAGCTGAGTACCAGCCTTCATCTCTCTGCCTTCTGACTACAGACACCGTGTGACCAAGAGGCTTCCTGCTCCTGCTGCCATGACATCCCCCCATGTTGGATTGTGAGCCAAAACCAGCCCTTTCTCTCTTAACTTGCTTTTGCCAGGGTATTTTATCCCAGCAACAGGAAAAGTTACAAAGACAGGGAGCATGTAGCCTAGGGGAGGACAGCCTGGATATGGGCAGGTAGCAACCACGTAAACATGCAGTGGGTGACAGCGGGGTGAGGTGACAGTGGAGGCAGTGAGAGCTGGTCAGGCCCCAGACACATTGGGAAGCTTGTGCCACCCACCATGATTTCTGAAAGGAGGAGCGGGATGGTGTCAAGGTCCTGGACTGGGCACCTGGAGGGGTGACATTGTCACCAAATGAAATGGAGAGGGCAGCGTGTGAAATGGAACAGACTTTGGAGGGATGATCAGGAGTTCAACTTTGGAGTTGTTAAAGTTGAGAGTGATCAGTGGGCAGGTCCAGGATGACGATATAAAACTGGGAGTTGTGATCACGTGATGAGCCTTAAAGCCACAGACTGGATGATATCTAGAGACTGAGTCAGTAGGGAAGAGATTTAGCCTATGGCTGACACTGGACAGAGAGACAGGAAGCTTGGAAGTGATGGCTTGGTGGCCAAGACATCCATGGTATATAAGCTAAGTAGCTCTGACTTGGAACATACAGAGGAGTTTGGATGCTCATATATCACATATGTGTGTGTGTGTGTGTGTGTGAGAGAGAGAGAGAGAGAGAGAGAGAGAGAGAGAGAGAGATGCATATGTGCATGTGAGTGTACATGTGCCCAAGTGTATGCGCAGAGGCCAGAGGAAGGCACTGGGTGTCCTGCTCTGTCACTCTCTTGTTCCTCTCTTGAAACATGGTCTCTGATTGAACCTGGAGCTAGGCTGGCAGCCAGCAAACCCCAGCGATCCTCCTGTCTCTGCGACAGCACAAGTTACATGGTCCAAGAAACCATGTTTTGTTTTTATTTTCAAAAAAAATTGTAAACAATTTTAGAATTAATTTTTAATTAATTTTTATTTGATGTATATGACTGTTTTGCCTTCATGCATGTATGTGCATCACATGTGTGCAATGCCCACAGGGGCCAGAAGGCATCAGATCACCTAGAACTGGGGTTTCTGATGGTTGTTAGCTGCCATGTGGGTGCTGGGAACTAGACCTGGGTCCTCTGCGAGAGCAGTCAGTGCTCTTAATCACTGGGCCACCTCTCCAGTCCCTCATGCATTTTTTAAATGTGGGTTCTTGGGATTTGAACTCAGGACTCATACTTACACAGCAAAAGCCGATCCTCTCCCAGCTCCTGGATGTTCCTGGTATAATGGCTTTGTCCTTTCATTGCAGGGCATAAATCCACAACTATTTCCTTATTTTATGATTTGGCAGTGCTTTTTATGAGGCTGACACACTGCATACTGTGCTGAGGCAGATGGCAGTACTTTTTAATTTTGTAATAAATTTCCTTAAAGTGATGGGCTGAAAACACAATTTTTAACCAAATTTTCTGTATTGAGTTTTTGTTTCTCAAGGAAGTTGACATTAAGTATGTAGTTCCCAAGTTCCAATCACAAGTCTGTGTCAGCAAAATCATATTTATACCCCCAAATGTCCATGCCCCTGTCCCATCCCTGGAACCCTCAAATATGTTACCTTTGATGGCAAAGGGGACTTTGCAGATGTGGTTAGATTAAGGACCCCGGAATAGGGAGATGATCCCGGATGGTCCATGTGGGCTCCACAGCATCACACGGGTCCCCATAGGAGGGAGGTCAAGGTCAGAGGGAATGTGAAGATGTTGCTCTGCTGGCCCTGAGCTGAATTGGGGTGACAGGCTTGAGGAAATCTGCAGCCTCTAAGGGCTAGGAAGGCAAGAGGCAGCTTTCCTCCAGGAATTCCAGAAGGTGACAGCCCTGTCCACACCCCAACTGTTGCCCTGGCCTCCAGGGCTGTATGAGCATCCATTCATGTTGTTCCAAGCTTCCACACCTGCGGGAACTTGTTGTGGTAGTCATGACACACTGGTTCTGGCTCAGGATATCGGAGGTCTCTGCCTGTGCTGGGAACTGAGCTTGCACCTGGTGAGGGCAACAGGTTTTCTCTTCCAGCCACCGTAGCCACAGAGCAGGACCACTCAAGTCAGGCCCCTTCCTTCCTTCCTTCCTTCCTTCCTTCCTTCCTTCCTTCCTTCCTTCCTTCCTTCCTTCCTTCCTTCTTTCCTTCCTCCCCCCCCCTTTTCTGTTTTTGATCTTTTTGAGGCGGAGTCTCCCTATAGCCCCAGCTGACCTGGATTCGCTTTGGAGACCAGACTGACCTGGAACTCACAGAGATCCATTTGCCTCTGCCTCTGTCTCTCAAGTGCTGGGATTAAAGGCATGTGCCACCACGCCCTACTCTTGCTTTTTTAAACTTAAAAAAAAGATTGTGTGTGTGTGTGTGTGTGTGTGTGTGTGTGTGTGTGTGTACAAGAATGCATGTGCTACAGCACAAAATTGGAGGTCAGAAGACACCCTTCAGGTGTGAGTCCTCACCTTTCCATCTTGTTTTAGACAGGGTCTCTTCACCCCTGCGTAAGCCAGGCTAGCTGGCCTGCAAGCTTATGGAGATTCTCCTGTCTTAGCCTCCCATCTCCCTGTATGGCTGTACTGGGATTACAGACTCCGGTGCTGTTTTTATATGGAGTTTTATACGGAGTGTGGCTTTTATACGGGTTCAAGGGATCTGAACTGAGGTCCTCACGCTTGCACAGCAAGTACTTTTACCCACTGAACCTCCTCTCCAGTACCACAGGCTTGGTTTAAAGGGCATCTTAATTGGCTGTTGCCTATGTTGTACAGTTGGCCACAGGGAAGCCATCTTCCTTCACTGTGTCTTAGCATCAGCTCTGAGATTTGCCTAGCACACTGTAGATGAGCAATAAACCACAGATATGGATGTTGTTAGTGATATTTGATTCTGTGAAAAACTCAGAGGGGCCCCGGGAGCATCTGCTGGAGACGAGGATCCTGCACTGTGGTTCTTCTGAACTGTGTACATTTTAGCCTCTGTGAATGTGACTCGGGAAAGCATGATGGGCCTCCACAGGCCAGCACTTTCCATACCAGCTCCAGATTTGGCATGCAGGTGACGATAAAGCATTTGACATATAGACACGGCGGACTGATGGCTCATGTCTGTAAGCTCAACACAGAGGTTGAGGCAGAAGGATTGCCGTGAGTTTGAGGCCAATCTGGGCTTCATAGTGAGTTCCATACAGAACAGCCTGGATTATGAGTGAGATCCTGTCCCATTAAATGTAAGCAAAGTAGCTGGGAGATGGTTCTGTTGGTAAAGTCTTGATGGGTAAGCAGGAGGGCCTGAGTCTAATCCTCAGCACCCACATAAAAGTCAAGCATAGTATCATGCATTTTCAATCCCAGTGCTGAGGAGGCAGAAGCAGGAGGATCCCTAGAGATCAATGGCCAGTCAGCCTAGCCTAATTAGCAAGCCCCAGGCCCCAGGGACAGATCCTATCTCAAAAAACAAGATGGGAGCTGGGCTGGGTAGCATATGCCTTTAATCCCAGCACTTGGAAGATAGAGGCAAGTGGATCTCTGTGAGATCGAGGCCAGCCTGGTCTACCTAGTGAGTTCCAGGCCAACTGGGACTAAAGGGAGACCCTTTCTCAAAAAACAAAAACAAAACACCCCCCATACATACACAAAACAAGGCGGGGGAGGACGGGCAGATGGTTCAATTGGTAAAGTACTTGCTGTGCAAGCATGAGGACTTGGCTTTGATCCCACATAAAAGCACCCACATAAAAGCCTGTGTGCACCTGGGATCCCACTGCTGGGGAGGCAGAGGCAAAGAGGATCTCTGGGGCTCACTGGCCAGCCAATCTAGCCTAATAAAATAAGGTGAAGGGCTGATGAGATGGCTCAGTGGGTCAAGATGCCTGCTGCTAAGCCTGATGACTTGAGTTCGAGCCCCACAACCCACATGATGGAAGAAGAAAACCAACTCCCACAAGTTGTTCTCTGACCTCCACACTTATGCTGTGGCACACACCCTGAACACATACACATACATACACAAAATAAATACAGTTGTAAAAAGAAAAATGATAGTGTGGAAAGCAATTAAGGAAGACACCCAACATCAACCTCTGGCCTCCACATGCACATACAAACCTGTACACACACACACACACACACACACACACACACATATACACACACATACACGACAGTAATAACAAAGTGGATGGCTCCTAAGGAACAATGCCCAAGGTTGACTTGTGGCCTCCATATGCACATGTGCACACACAGTCACATGCACACACATGTGTCTGCATACACTCACACAAGCACACACATACATACACCTGAACAAACAACTAAATACATATATATGCACATGCACACACTCGCACATGCACACATACCCACACATGCATACATATACCTGCACATGAACACACCTGCATACACACACCTACATATACACCCCACATATATGCACACATATGCATGAAAACATCCACATGCATACACACCCACGCATGCACACATATACATACATACTCATGGGCAAAAGAAAAAACTATAAGCACAGCTCACAGGAATGCTGGCACGATCCCAAGATGAGAGGCTGTTTTCAAGCCCCTCTTAACCTGAGCACAGACTGGGCCAAGGAATGCTTGTTAGTCATTTTGGAGAGATGAATTTGAGCTTTGCCGGTTAGCTTGTGGACAGCAACAGGCCAGAGTGTGTGAGGCTCCATGGCTCTCCTCAGCATAAGTATGGTTCACTTAGCCTTGACATACAGAGCTATTGGAACCTTCCGGTGCTGTTCTAAACACTTTCTGTCTCCTTTCCATTCTGAAAAAGTGATTATAACTCAAACCAGATCTAGGGGGTGGCTCAGTGGGTAAAGCCCATAAAACTTTCACTGTAAAAGTATGAGGACCTGAGTTTGGATCCCCAGAACCCATACAAACTGGATGTGGTGGGTGAGTGTGTGTAATCCCAGCACTCCTATGGCAAGATGGGAGGAAGAGACAGGAGAAGCCCAGGAGCTCATGGGCCAACTGGCCTGGTGTACGCAGGGGCAAACAACCAGAAACTCTGCTCCAAACAAGGTGGGAGAAAAGGATCACTGCCTGCGACATCCTCTGAAACACACAGACACACAGACACAGACACAGACACACACACACACACACACCCATACACATACGTGCGGATAAACCCCAAACCAGAAGCTAAGAGTGATGGTTCATGTCTGTAATCTCCAACTCCCACCAACTCTGCACTTGAGGGACTGAGGCAGGATTGCTGTTAGTTTGGGGCCAGCCTGGGCTACATAGTGAAACTGTCTCAAAACAACAACAACAAAACAATAATAACAGCAAAGGAACACCCAGCAAAACCCCTTAAACTAGACCCGGAGAGAAAAAGTTTCTTAGATTGATTTAATTAGTTTTGAATACTTATTCTGCCAATGCTAGGTGTACAAGGATACTTTCTGTTTGTCGCATTTTGCTAAAGACGCAATCTATGATTCCATCAACAATCCTGAGAGGAAGCAGATGGTCACTGACTTACCCAGACAGGAAATGAAGAATTCGAGGCTTCAGCTGGATTTCTGATGGCGACAACTGCCTCAGAAGGGTTCTTGTTCTGGGCAGCTCTGTGGACACACGTTGGCCTTAAATGAATAACCTCCGTTCCCATGACGTCATGAGGGGATTGCCCAAAAAGTGAGTCTTTCAAGCCAGGGAAGGTGAGCTGGGGTTCACAGAGGGGCGTGGCCTCCCTTTTTACTTGGCACTTGGGGATGGTAGAGGTTATTCAATTACCATCTCCCACTTTTCTCTGCTGACATTTGCCACCTGGTGATTTTGCCTAAGAACTGTTTGTTGGCAAATGGGCCACACAGACACATTTCAGTGTGGCCAGCACCCCCAACACTCATCCCCGTCGGTACATTGAGCAATGGCTTCCCCAATTCCTTGTGGGTCCCTGAATGTCTGGGATTTGGCCACAGGTTTGTGGGAGCCAGCTAGAACAGCTCTTGAATTTCAGCCTTGAAGGACATGTAGCCAAGAATCCATCAGCGTGGACTTCATTGTACAAACAGTGAGTTGGGAAAAAATTTGACTCACACAGTGCTCAGAGTTGAGTAAGATCAGATGCTCTTTTCCTAATCTTCCCTGGTGGCTCTGGGATTGATTTTATTGTGAGCTGGCGTCCACTAAGCCAAGCTACCCTAAAACTGGCTTTCAGGGAAGCAGGAATGCCTGGCTTTCTCTGAGAGTCTGGCGCCAAGATCCTTAGGCTATGGGCCAGCTGTCTTCATTCCTCTGCCCTCCTGCCAGGAACCACCTATGTTCACGGCTGGAACTCACTTCTAGAGGTGGGCGGGCCCCAGGCATGCAGTCACAGATGCTCCCTTTGCACCTAACATCTGACCTCTTCCTTACACTTCTGCCTGCTGTTACCATTGTCCCGGCGTGGCTCACTGCATGCTCAGTGTTTCCAGATGTTTTCTCTGTTGCTAGGGGTTTAAAATTGTGGAAGCAGAAAAATAAATAATAGAGGGAGAACTGGGGGGTTGCTCCTCTTTCCCTCAGGCCACACAGCTCCCCTGGGGCAGGACATTGTGAGACCTGCAGGTGTTAGACTGGTGCATTGTATCCTCCTGGAACTGGCTCAGCCAGAAGAAAACAAGCCTCAAGATTGGCAGTGCAGTCAGGCTCCCTAACTAGAACTGGCTACGGGAGTCCAGACTGTATTGTGGTTGAGAAGCATCTTTCCTAGGGGGCATGTCTCCTTGCCCAGCACTGACTATACTCAGCAGAGCCTGAGGCCAGTTCTGAGGAAGGGTCTCATCTCAGCATCCCTAACTGGGGAGGTATGTCCACAAGCCCACAGGGAGGAGAACAGCTGGGCTGGGCTGGGGCTGTGTCCACCAGCGTTATGGGGACTGATGAAACTGAGCTTTGGGGAGTGAGTCTGAGGTGGCTGGTCCAGGCCCAGGGCTACCCTGGGTGGGATGGAAAGGTTCTTTGAAGAGAGACTTGTCCCTCCTGTAGCGGGAAGCAGGCCTGCATCCAGGGAGCAAAGGGTTCCCTTGTCCTTGTGGCAAGGGGCAGTGGACAGTGGGAGAGGGCAGACCAAGAGGCAAACAGGCCCATCACATGGCTGAAAGTGGGAGGAGGCTGAGGCAGGAGAAGGGGGTGGACCCTCCACGAGGGTCTTCTGGCCTTTTCTGTGTGAGGCTCCATCTGTGACTCACACATGTGCTATGGGGACTGGTTTATCAGCACAGTTCAGTTGAGCTGTCCTTGGTGGGTCCCCTGGGTGAAGGGGGAGGACAAGATCACCAAGGATGCAGGGCCCATCTGCCAGGTACCTCAGGGTCTCCTCTGGCTCTGCTGTATAAGGTCTCCACCTCTACCCAGCATGAAGATGAAGGAGGGAAGCAGCAGGATGGGATTCTTGCAGGGTGAGGTGTCCTGTGCTCATCAGGGTCCAATCCAGGCCCTCACTTCTATTCAAGGTGTGTGGTCACCCACCTTGTCATAGGATGAAGGGCCTCATATAGCATAGTCTGTGACCAAGGACTAGACAACCTTTTGCTTTCCTGTCCTTTTCTTTCAGTCCATCTTGCTAGAAGAATGTTCCAGAAATACTTGGATGTCCCAGGACAGTGGCCCCCACCTCTGGAGTTCATGTTTTCGTAAGGTCTAACTGAGCTACTCAGAGCCACACTGTGGCCGAGTAGGCATCTCGAGGGTTCCTAGTTCCTCCAGGAGTGACAGGGAATGTCATCAGATGACAATGACCTTCCACTTCTCTCTAGCTGTTCAGACCTCATCCACCTCCTTGGTCCCCTGCAGCCCTCACACCTAGCGCCAGGCTGAGGGACGCAGGGACACTTGGGCAGGGGATGGTTGTGGACATCAGAGCATCTTGGTTCCAGGTGCAGCCCGAGTGGACCACTGCCCGCAGCTGGCCCTAGGAAGGGTCGGAGTGGTGCCCGTGGGTGAGTGAACACTACACCAAGATTGCACGGACCAGGCGAGTTTACAAAGGACCCACCTGTGCTTTCAGGCCCCCTGCTGGCTGCTTGAGAGACGACAGGGGCTTCCAGTCTCCTCTCAAGGAAGTCTCAGCCTAGGTTCCTACCCTCAGGAGGAGACCTCCCTAGGATCACACTCAGAAGGACTCCTAGCCTGGATAAGCAGCTCTGTTTCTTTCCATTTTGGAACCTAAGTAAGCCCAGATCATTTCTCTCCTTGAAACCCTCTGACACCATCTCCAGTAGAAGCAGAGGTTGGGGCGGGGCAGTGGTGTGTGAGGCCATGCCCTCTGGCACTGCCAGGTCCCTCTGCCTGGAGCGGCCTTCCCACGGAGTCATACACCTGCCTCTTCAGGTCGTCCCACAGCCCACAAATCGCCCTGAGAGAACCATTCCCTGAAACCACCTCTCCTGTCTGACCTCTTGGCTCCTCCTACCCCTTTAGCTTACATTTGCTTTCACTTCCTGTCTCCTTCAGCAGCTGAAGGGGGTCATCTGCATGGATTAAGGTCACAGTCACCCCCAGGAAGGAGGTCATCTGCATGGATTAAGGTCACAGTCACCCCCAGGAAGGAGGTCGTCTGATTGGATTAAGGTCACAGTCACCCCCAGGAAGGAGGTCATCTGCATGGATTAAGGTCACAGGCACCCCCAGGAAGGAGGTCATCTGCATGGATTAAGGTCACAGTCACCCCCAGGAAGGAGGTCATCTGCATGGATTAAGGTCATAGTCACAACTTCTGCCACAGAGCTGATGGTCCCAGTGTGGATGCTCAGTACTTATTTGCTGAATGAATTCAGAGTATTTTTATTTATTTATTTATTTATTTATTTATTTATTTATTTATTTACAACCACTGCATGTTTGTCTTATGTCAGGAAATATGTTCCCAAACACTTGTGGGTGCCAGGTCCGATGTGCACACCGAAGACACAGTGCTGACTAAGCCCTCTCCCTGCCCCTTTAAGAAGCTCTCCATGGACAAAACTGTACTGATGTCTGGTCACAACTGTGGAACGCAAAGTGGCAAGGAGGCGCCAAGACCCTGAAGTAAAACACGAAGAGTGACAGGAGATTGTGTGTGTCAACTTGGCTGAGCCAAGGTGTGCTTAGGTGTGCAGTGATGTGACGTCTGAGTGTGTGGGAGCCTCTGGAGTAGATCAGTGTTGGAACCAGTAGGTTGAGTGGAGCAGACTGTTCTTCCTGCGGACGGGTTGTGCTCTGTCTACTGGAGCCTTGAATAGAGCATCCAGGAAGAGGAAGGGGAAATTAAGCTCTTTGTCTGGCTGTCCCTAAACTGAGATCGATCTCTCCTTTTGCCCTTAGACTGGCATGTAGACCAGCCGCCTTCCTGGGCCTCCAGTTTACAGAGGCAGATGGTGCGGCTTCTTCACACGAGTTAATTCCTCCTAATCAGTCTATATCCCCTCCACAGTCTTCTCTACCATCTCTATCACCTCTGTCATCTCTACAGTCCCCATCATCTCCATCATCTCCACCATCTCTATTTCTATCTCAATTGTCTTCATCTCCAGCCTCTCTGTCTCCATTATCTCTAGCTCATCTATCTTTATTTCTGCCTCTATCATCTCTATATCTCTGTTATTTCCATTTCTAGCTCTGTCATCTCCAGCTCTAGTATCCCTATCTTACTTTCATCTCTATCTATCTCTACCATCTATCTCTCCTGTTCTTATTTCTCTGGAGAACTCTGACTAATATGCAGGATATAGGAATACTGTACAGTATAGGGATATTTGAGTTGGGTTTTGAGGGGTGTATAGGAGTTTTAAAGGCAGGTAAGTTACGAAAGATATTGTAGGCAGAAGGAACAGAATGTATATTATTATTTATTATTATTTAAATTTTTTTTGGTCTTTTTGAGACAGAGTCCCCCTTTAGTCCCAGCTGGCTTGGAACTCATTGTGTAGACCAGGCTGACCTTGACCTCACAAAGACCTACCTGCATCTGCCTCCCGAGTGCTGGGATTAAAGGTGTGTGCCACCACGCCCGGCCTTTATTATTTTTATTTTATGTGTGTAAGTGTATTGCCTGCTTATAAGTAAGTGCACCCACGTCATGCAGTGCCCATGGAGGTCAGAAAAGGGTGTCGGATGCCCTGGAACTGGAGATACAGATGGTTGTTAGGTGCCAAGTGGGTGCTGGGATTCAAACCCAGGTCCTCTGCAAGAGCAGTCAGGCTCTTAACTGCTGAGTCATTTCTCCAGCCCCCAGCAGCATGTACATTATAACCACACATGTGCACAAGATGTGGGTGGCTCACCCAGAGCGTGGTGTCTGGAGCTTGGTGTCAAGCCCCATTGTGTATTCTTTTTATGGGGCCTCATCAGTCCCTACCCTTGGGTGGGCTCACGGTTTGGTGCAAGGAAGTTTAGCGGACATTGAACTCAGATTGGGTGTAGGTGCTGAGAGAGTGCTGCGGAGTCAGTCCGTGCTCAAGGCTAGGTGAGGGGGAGAGCTGAGCAGCAGCTCCAGGAATGTGTTGGCCCTGCTTGCACCTGGGCATCGCTGAGAGGCTGAAATAAGCATAGGAGATGTTCACTCTGGGCTGTGGCTGTGTTCACAGTGTGCCGCATAGGAGATGCTCACTCTGGGCTGTGGCTGTGTTCACAGTGTGCCGCATAGGAGATGCTCACTCTGGGCTGTGGCTGTGTTCACAGTGTGCCGCATAGGAGATGTTCACTCTGGGCTGTGGCTGTGTTCACAGTGTGCCCCAGATATGGAAATGCTGATGTCTCTTTCCTGTCATGACTTTGCCCTGTGTGATCTGGGATGGGGCCAAGTGGCAAAAGCCCTGTGTTATTTTTCAGTCGGTTCACACACCTGATGGCTTATGGGTACAGCACAGAAAAAGGCATGGGGCAAGTTCATTGTCCTTTCTGATATTTCTAATAAACGTGGAATTAGATGAGCTAGTTACAGCGCTGATCCCGGGAGCCTGCATCTTTAACAGGGCTCGTGTTGCTCTTTACTACAGGGAAGCTTCCAGAAGTACAGGAGACTGAAATAGCTGAAGATGGTCATAACTCTTCCTAAAGTCGTGGGGTCACCCTGGACCATCCCAGCTCTCATGGTGCCTAAAACTGTGAGACAGAGACAGATGCACAGAGAAAACCGGGTCACTGTCATTGTACCTGGCAAGCTCTACGCCGCAACAGAAGACACAGTGGGTTGGGCACAGGTTGGTGTGCGATGCATCTCAGGGTGATCAGGGAGGCAGCTGGAGAGTTTGTGTCAAGTCCTGAGCATGAGAGGAAACCAGTCACTGAGGGATGGTGCAGTTTTGAGAACGACTGGACCTCTCGTGGCCCAGTTGTCCTTGACCTAGAGACTTAATGTTCCAGAAACTCAACAGCACCAAAGTCACCCTGAGACAGTGGCTCCTGAGTTCACTGTCTCATACCAGCGAGGATTAAAGATGTGGATACTCATGGGGTTCGGCAAAGTGGAAACAAGATTTAAGAAGGGAAACAAAGGAAAAGTGTGAACTGAAAGAAAAATAAAACTTTGAGAATGGAAGTTCCCATGTGTCTTAGTTTGTTTCTTCATTGTTGTGACAAAATACCCTGAACAATACCAACCTGGGGAGGAAAGGCTTTATTCAGCTCACATCTCCCAGGTCGCAGTTCATCAGGGAGCCCAAGATAGGAACTCAGGGCAGGAACCTGGAGGCAGGAGCTGGAGCACAGGCCATGGAGGAACACTGCTTACTGGCTTGCTCCCGTGGCCCCTACTCAGCTTGCTCTCTTATCCAACACAGGACCACCTGCCCAGGGGTGGCACTACCCACAGTGGGCTGGGCCCTCCCACATCACTCAAGTGGGCTGGGCCCTCTCACATCATTCAATAATCAAGAAGATGCCCCACAGATATGGCCACTGGCCAGTCCAATGGAGGCAATTCCCCAATTGAGGCTCCCTCAACCCAGGTGTGTCAAGTTGACACTAAAGCTATCCAGCACACCATGACAGGAAATACCATTGAACTTCTGGTCTAGGTTTTTATGACTTATGGACAAAGACCAAGGTCATTTCTGTTGAGATTGGTTCATTCTCTGGGCTCTCATGGGCTGAGCAAACAGAGGGTCCACAAGCTCTATGCGTGTGCCCCTCGCCCAACCAGGAAGATGATCACTTGCTGTTCATGTGCTGCCCACCTAGGGGTGGTTGAAGCCCCTCTGTCCATCTCTGACTTCTGCTTTGTTTCCCACTGACCCTGACTGTCCTGCTGTTAGCCGTGCATTGTCGACCTTGCAGGTGTCTTTCTGGCTACTGATCAGACAGGATAGTCTAACTATCCCTCTCCTCTTTCTCACATCCACGTGGTCCGTGTGTAGCGCTCATAGTTGCAGTTGTTCTTGGTTCTTTCACAGTGAATCCCTTCCTCCTGGGGTGGTTTGGGGGGGGGTCTCTGTCCTAAAATAGGTGGAGGCTTTTTAGAATCCATCCTTACTTATAATGTAGTCTGTTAACATGAGCTGCATTGGAAGCAAGACTATGGGAAGGGACAGCAGTGCCTGGCATGTGCTTCCCACACATGTGCTTCACCCATGGACAGTGGCTTTGTTTCTCAGAATGGCAGGATGGGGTTGAAGGGAACAAGTTCAGACCCTCCTGGCACGGGGTTACTGGTAGCCATGATGCTGTCTCAGAGTGATATTCTCTCCTCCCTGCAGGAAACAGGAGGAGGACAGCTCATGCCACCCCACAAGGCCCCTGCAAATGCCTGTCAGGGCACAGTAGGGCGTCTTGGATCTCCTTAACCAGGCCCCACTGCTGTACCTTCTTCCAGGCGGCAGAGCATCTGATCCCAAGGCAGGATCCTGGTCTTCGGGGCTGATCTGGACATCAAGCCGGCAGGTATGAGAGGGGAAGTCACATCCCAGGGCTTCAAGCCTCACTCTTCCAGCCAAGCTGGGGGACTGGGACTGTGTTCTATGCAGCCTTCAGGAGCTGGGATTCTCAGCCGTGGAGTGTCTGCCTCGCAGACCTAGCTCCAGGATGTCTCATGGTTAGACAGCCAGAGCGCTCCTCAAAGGGGCTGCTTTCCGTTTTGTCATGTTACTGTAGCACAAGACTGTGGTACTGTCTGCTCAAGGGGAAGGGCACATAGCGATGCTCCACCTTGGACTTGCCCTAGAGGAAAAGCAGATGCTGCTACTGGCCCACTGTGGAGAGGGGCGAACTCCCACCTTTGTCACATTTTAGCGTTGTTTGTAAGCAGTCTTCCTGAGGAGCTCAGTGGCTGCATGGGCTGTGGTTGGGATTCTCAGTTTCTCTTTAACCTGGTCCAAGACACTTGCCTTTGGGGCCCGGGGGTGAAAAGAGAGGCAGAGCAACCCAGGTTTGGGGTCTGCAGAGATGCACGTTCATATCCAGTGGCATCAGGCCTGTACTGCTGGCTCTGGAAGCCCCAGCTGGCCTCTACGTGCCGTACAACCTTGGGAGAGGCCCTACTAGTGCCTGCTTGATGAAGCCTCCAAAATTCATCAGGCTAGCACGTGCAATTCTTTCTCAGGGCGCTTTCATGGCCATGTGGGGAAGAAGTTGGGATTGAGGCAGCTGGAGGCTTTGAGGAGAACCTTCCTCCTTGTCCTCCCTGATCCTCACAGCTCCAGGCACCCTCTGTGTTCCTTGGCCCGTGGCTCATCACTCTGGTGTGCGTCTCCTCTTTCTGTGTCCTTCTTTCTGACTCTGTGCCCTCCCCTCCTTTAGAAGGGTGCCAGTTGTTTGACTCAGGGCCCACCATCAGCCAGTAGAACTACATTTTAACCTATTCTGCAAAGACCCTATTTTCAAGTAGAGCCACATTGCCAGGTTCCTAACTTGGATATACACTTTCCTGGGGGACATCATGTGACCCTCTATACCAGATTTATCACACTCAATCCTCACAATACCTGGATTCGTATTTTGTAGATGGAAAGTACAAACAGAGATGGCCAGGGACCTTATCCAACTTCCTCCAGTCAAGAGGTAGCAGAGCTGAGGTCTGAGCCAGGAGCCTGGCCCTACCACTGAGCAGCTCCTGCCCTGTTGAAGCGGTCCTTTATGGTTTTCCAAAGCCCTTTTCCAGAGTCACATCTTTTGCCAAAGATGTACCTACTTAGGTAATTAACTTTCCCTGTTACAGATAGAGAAACCGAGGCCAAAGCCAGGGGAGGGGGAAAGTAGTCAAGCGGCCAGCCCAGGTCACAGGGGACTGGGTGGCCTGGCTCCAAAGTTCTTCTACATTTAGCTATCATATCTCAGCGGGAGGCAGGTGAGTGAAGCCAGACGCCAGCGGCATGCACTGCATGAGTGTGTGTGCATGAAGTGTCTGGAAAAGGCAAAGGGAGAGACAGAGATGAGTGGCCGCCAGACGTGGTGGGAAGGGAAGAGTCAGTGGTAACAGCTAATGGAAATGGGATTTCATTTTGGCATGACCAGGATGCTCTGGAATTAAATAGCAGTGATGGTTGTGCAACTCTGTGAAGAACTAAAAGCTGAAATGGGAAAAGCATACGGTGTGTGGGACATATCTCGACACAACTTGTATGAAAACGTCACCCCCTGGGGAGAAAGGTCACTGCTCCTCCACTTACAATTGGACTGCATCCCAATAAGCCAACCTAAGTCAAAGGCAACACAGATCAAGGATTCATAATGCATCTGCGCTGCCTAATGTCGTATCCTTGCATCACAGTAGACTGTTGCTTCCCTTATGACTGCCAGGCTGACCCTGAGCTGTAGTGCCTCTGCCTGGTGCAGAGGAGAATTGAACCTATCACTAGTCTAAAGATACTGACTCGACATTCAAAGCACAGTTCCTACTGAATGTGGATGGCTTCCGCACCATCGGAAGGTTGAGAATGTCTAGGTGGAACCATTGCAAGCAGGGGACATCTACTCACAAGGCCTAAAAGATGCAGTTTGTTACTGAGGTGGAAGCAGGCCAAGTCCTGGCATAGTTTGCTTCATGCAAGAAGTCGCCTAGATCCTCTGTGGTGGTTTGTGGCTTCTGTTTGTTAAGGCCTGCACACTCCAGGGTAAGCAGGGTTTCCCAGCACCCTCCTTAAGAACCGTGTGGCCTTAGCAAGTTCCTGACCTTGCTGGCCTCAAGGGAGAGCATAGAAACCCTGTGTCTTGATCAGGATGAAGGCTGGTCAGCAGTGCTCAGCACCATATGAAACACTCCACGGGCCTCTCTGACCCAGGCCTCAGCAAAAAACCACAAGCTTAAACTTTTAACCACTGCTCTTGCCAAATCTTGACTGCTGTTTTTCATCCCTGATTCCCATGTCCTCTGGGGACCTAGATGAGGGATCAGGGCTGTGTGAGGCTTAGCAGTGGGGTCAGAGACTGGGTAGTCAAGAGACAGAGGCATGGACTGCTGAGTTCTATGAAGGAGAAACTTCACCTTCTGATTGATTGCCAAGTCGGTGCTCAGTGGCTTCCTAAATGATGAGTGGGCCACCGTCACCAGCATGACTTCCCACAAGGTTGGTTACCTGTATCCAGGATGCATCTCTGCACTTGGCCCTCACCTGGACCTGTGTGGTGGGGGTTGTGAGGGATGCCCCCATCCAGATATGTCTGTTGAAAGCCCTGCTAAGGTTCTATCTCCAGCCTATGGATTCCCTCAGGACTGCACAGGCCCTGTGTTCTACATGAATGGTTTATCACACACATGTACCTATCTCCTGGAGCGGGATCTCCCTCAGTACTGTGGGCTTAAGAGAGGGTACAGGCTGGCACAAAGGAAGGAATGGTGCCTGAGGTCTGTTCAGGCCTTGAGTCGGATGTGGTAGAGAATGAGTGGGAGAGGATGGATGGAGCCAGGGGGCTCGATAGGAGCAGATCACCAGGAGTCTTGCAAATCACGTATGGATATGTAGCATTATTCCAACGGGAGGGATAGTGGAAATGGTACCCAAGGGAGGGATAGTGGTCCCCATCACTGGGAACACAGGAGCAGAGGCTTTTCTTCCGGATATTGGAGAGAATGTTCTTAATTTGAGGGGAAAGTCAAATAAAAGCATCTTACATAAATGAATACTTGAACAGTGGCCATCCCTGACATTCTGTCACTAACTGGGCCTCAGGAGCACCAGAGAGGAAGTGGTAATAAGAGAAGTAGTGAGGGGAGACATTCAAAATGAATTTCCTGAAGGTCTCTTACACTGCTTGTTGAGTATATTTTAGAATGGATACTTCAGTACATATCTATAAGTATGCATACTGAATCTCCCTCCCTCCCTCCCCGTTCTCCATTCTCCTCCACAACCACAAAAGCTTAGAGATCACTGATCAACAGAAGTCCTAAAGGGAATGTGTCCTTCATCCCCCAAAGCTTCCAGCTGCCCGAATCAGAGTCCCAGAGTCAAAGCTTGGGCTCTCCTCCAGCCCCTCCTCTCTCTTTCCACAACCACAAAAGCTTAGAGATCACTGATCAACAGAAGTCCTACAGGGAATGTGTCCTTCATCCCCCCAAAGCTTCCAGCTGCCCGAATCAGAGTCCCAGAGTCAAAGCTTGGGCGTTCAAGAAGTGTGACACAGGCGAGTGCTGTGCAAAACCCATCCATTTTCTGCTGCGCACAAGACAAGTGTGTTTACATGGGGCATCCCTCCCTCGCCGGCATGCCAGCTACTTCCTCTTCACGGTGTGAAGCTCTCTGGGTCTGTCACAGCACACAATTCTTCATCAGGGAGCCAACACAAGGCACAGAGGGCTCCTCCCTCCTGTGGACCTGGTTGTAAACCCCACTGTGACCGTGAGGAGCCCAAGTTGTGGCCAGCAGTGTTCCTGAAGCCAACAGTTCACCCACCACACATCTTCTGAGGATGGGCCCTGCTGTTTCCATTCACAGAATGGGTGTGGCTGGACTCCGTTCTAACACAGAACCCTAACACCCATTTCTAATGGCACCCGGTTGCCTCTTCTTGCTATAAGTATGTGTGCATGTTAATTGGGGTAGGGGTAGGGGAGGGTCGGGCAGAAAAGGAATTTCTGGGGCCCTTCTCCCACTCAAGGAACTCTAGTAAGTTGAGCTTGGAGTGATCAACACAGAGGTGTCATTTCAGTGATCTGCAATAACACAAAGTACTTTGGCTCTTTCGGCTTTATTTACACACATTTTACTCTTTTTATTGTGTTTCTTGAAAGCTTTACAAATGTATTATTATTTTATTGTAACTCCCACTTCCTGAAAACTACTCAGTATTCATCACTAAAAGGCTGAATGGGAGGGTCTTATGATAATGCAAACAATAAGCTCAAATAACCAGAAGTCTGGTACCAGCATTACACTTCATTTTATTCCTATCTTGTGGGTTTTCATGGGTGACTTCTTTCCTCCAGGTTTTCATGTACCAAAAAAGTGATTTTTTTTTTACAGAGTCCCAAAGAAAAGTGGTGAGCTATTGTCCAGATGTGAGAACGTAGTAGGGAGTCACGGTAAAAACTAAACGCCTACTCAAAGTTTCTATAATCCTGAGCCAAACTGCTACTTTCTTCCCTCATTAGTTTTTCAATCCAGATGATCAGGTATTGGGACAGACTGCCATACAAACAGATGAGGAAGAAAGACATATCCTTTGTCTCTTTCTTCTAGCCTGGGCTCACATATTCTGACTTTGAAAATGTTGCAACAGAAAACCCAGGAGGTTAGAATGATGTAACCAGCACGTCTGACTCCCTCTCTACACTGGTCCGTGTACATCTCTCTATGTCCAGATATATTCTTATTATGAATTGTTAACAAACATGGCTTTGTGTTATTTCTTGTATATCGTTGTCAATAAACTCCTCAGAAGTCCAATTTGTGGTTTGTCACAGCAGTGAGAATTTTAAGTTTAATTTTAAATTTTAAAGTCTTTAGAAACAAGCTAAAAGTTCTACAACAATTTGGAGTTCCATAACAGGTCAAACACAGAGAATAAGTGTCTGTGAGATGCCCAGTCCTAAGTGACACATCTACAGTGCAACCTCTGTACCTCAGGCTCAGGAAACATAGTAGAACAGGGGTGGGAAGAACACCAGTGCATCTCTCAGCTCTTACCAGTGAAGCTTCTTTATACAACAGATGGTGATTAATACAGGAATACACATAAAGCACAGTTGTCAGAACCGTAAAGGACATGTCCCTGGCCAGGACTCTTATATTAAACCTCTGCCATTCAGGGCTCAGGGACCATCTCAGAAGAAGTAGAAAGGCTGTAAGAGTCAGGTGTGGTGGATGACCACAAGGAAACAGAGTTTTCCAGGTGGCTGGGAACTTGCTCATATGAACTTACAGCAATGGTGACAGCCTGCACAAGACCCATGCACACTCAGACAAAGACCCAGCACAGAAGTTGGGGGAAAGGGAAAGGATTAGATGCCCCAGCCTTAGCTGAGGGCCTATTGGCAGCTGATCACTGCTGGGTGAGGAACAGCTGGTTTTCTTTAAGGTAGTGAGGCTAGACAGGCTGAACAGGCTTCAGTGGATGAACCCACACTGAGGGACATCTGGGGACACAAACTTGACTTGATAAGCCTTAATATCTATGACAAAAGCATGAAATCTGGTGGGGGAGATATGGGGGGTACAGGCAGCAGGGGGTCTAGAGATGTATGAAATGCACAAAAATTCAATAAAAATATAAAAAAGAATACTTTTTTTTTTAAAGACAGTATTAGCTGGGCGTGGTGGCACATGCCTGTAGTCCCAGCACTTGGGAGGCAGAGGCAGGCGGACCTCTGTGAGTTCAAGGCCTGCCTGGTCTACACAGTGAGTTCCTGGACAGCTAGGGCTACAGGGAGACCCTGTCTCAAAAGGATCAAAAAAAAAAAAAAAAAAAGACAGTATTATTTCCCATATTCCAGAGTCAAATATCTCCACCAATATGCATGTCTGACTCAAGGCCAGAGTCCCTGCTAGCTGGCAAGTCGGATTTCTGATTGTACATGTGATCTCCTGGTGGAAGTTTGTTTTTACCTACAAGTGCAGACCAAACTTACCCAGGAGGACTCAGTACTGGAGACATTAAGCCAAGCTGGTCTTCCTTCCTTCCTTCCTTCCTTCCTTCCTTCCTTCCTTCCTTCCTTCCTTCCTTCCTTCCTTCTTTCCCTCCCTCTTTTTTTGAAATTTTTATTATATTTATTTATTTGGGTGTGTGTGTGCGTGTGCATGTGTGTGAAGATATGTCTATCTCTCTGTCTTTCTGTCTCTCTGTATGTGTGTGTACATGTGCGCATGAAGATCTCTGTGTGTGAAAGTCACATTTGAAGGTCAGAGGATAACTTGTAAGATTTGGTTCTTTCCTTCGACCACGTGGGTCCAGGGGATTTAACTCAGGTCGTAAGGCCTGGCGGCAAGTGCTTTTGTGCACTGAGCCATCTTGTTGACCTATGGTCCTTTCTTTTGAGTAAACAAATACTTTATACACTTGCTTATAACCATTTTCAAACTTGATATTTATTCAACTTCAAATATAATATGCAATCAAAAGCTTACAATCAGAATGCAATTCACCTGTCATCTCAAATGAAGTTTCCCAAATGACTAACATGGCAGGCACTATTGAATAGTCAGTTATCATCAATTTGTGCCAGTAAACCATCAAAACTAACATTTTATTATCTTGTGGCCCTTTTTGTTAAGAAGCTCAAAGTCAGATTGATTGAGCTTTATAACTTTCTTTGCCCCTGAGTTCTCCCTGATCCCACCCTGGTCAGAAAGACCAACAAACTATGTATTCTGACTTCCTGTTGTCCCCAGCTCCCGGCTACTAAGTGACCTGGTCTTAAGAAGCTTGGTACTGGAGCCTGCATGGTGTGTTCTCCCTGTCTCCCTAAGGGGCTGACTTTCTTTGCCCCTGAGTTCTCCCTGATCCCAGCCTGGTCAGAAAGACCAACAAACTATGTATTCTGACTTCCTGTTTTCCCCAGCTCCCGGCTACTAAGTGACCTGGTCTTAAGCAGCTTGGTACTGGAGCCTGCATGGTGTGTTCTCCCTGTCTCCCTAAGGGGCTTGGCGCAGGTTAGCCACAGGAGCTAGATTATAATGACATTGTTATGGTTTGAGTCTGAAATGTCCTTCACAGGTTCATGTTTTGCGGGCTTGTTCCCTGACTGCTGGTCCTGTTTAGGGAGGCTGTGAGACCTTTCAAAGACTGATCCTAGCTGGTGGCAGAAGGAAACTATGGGCAGGCTTTTAAGAGTCCTATCGGTCCCCTGGATCCAGCTGCATCTCTGCTTTGCTGTCCATGAGGAGAGATGCTTCTGCCTACCTGCCTTCCCTGTTTTGATGAACTGAAATCTTTTTGGAATCATTAGCCAAAATTAACCCTTTCTCCCTTAAATTGCTTCTGTCAGGTGATTTGTTATAACAATGAGGAAAATAACTGATAATAGACATGTAGAAAAATAAATGCCCTTGGAGGACTCAGGAATTGAGGGTAGGTGTTCCCTGAGTCTCTGGGTGGCATTACTGGGACAGCTGTCTGCACTGACACCTGAGCTCACCTGAGGCCCCTTCAGTCAGTCCCTTAAATTGCTTCTGTCAGGTGATTTGTTATAACAATGAGGAAAATAACTGATAACAGACATGTAGAAAAATAAACGCCCTTGGAGGACTCAGGAATTGAGGGTAGGTGTTCCCTGAGTCTCCGGGTGGCATTACTGGGACAGCTGTCTGCACTGACACCTGAGCTCACCTGAGGCCCCTTCAGTCAGTTCTAATGGGGAACCTGTTGGCCATGAAGCCACTTGGGCATGGTATCCTCTCCTCTCTATTTAGCCGAAGATCTGTTCAGTGTGTAGGTGTGTTGTCCCCAGGGGCCTCCTCAAAGTCCCCAGGCCCAGGCAGTTCAGCCCAACCCTGGCCTCATTGATGAATTGCTCTGTGGCCATGTAGGGAGGCTGGCACTGGAAGTGATGCTCTGAGGTACGTGAACATGCGCCTTCATTGGTCAGCTGCCCTTGAGTGGCCTCTGCTGCTCCCTCTCTCTCTCAGACCACTGAAGAGCTGGAGAGATGCCTCAGTGGTTAAGAGCATACAGTGCTCTCTCTGAGGATCCTAGTTGGAACTGCCTGTAAGTCCAGCTCCAGTGGGATCCCACACCTCTGGCCTTGGAGGGCACCTGCACTCATGTGCACACACCCACCCGTAAACATACATACACATAATTTAAATTTTATAAAAGAATATCAAACCGTTGGTTGACACCCCATGGTCACTGAGATAGGCACCAGTGTGAAGCAGTTTGGATTCACTGACTTGCAGCCAGGGCCTGGGCCCCATGCTTTCTTGTATGGATGTGGGAGGCAGGTTCTAGGAAGGAAAGGTGGAGGGGAGTTGGGGTCTGGGACATCTTGCATGCAGATACCGTGGCCTCCAACAGTGGTTCTCCCCTAGGAGAGGTTTCTGAGCCCTGTGATAAGTGTATCCCTGTGTGCTGTGTGTACTGATGACTCACATTTACATAGCACCTGTCACTTTACAAAGCACAAGATGAGCTTACTTTATGGAAGAGGAGGCAGGACCAGGCCACTGTGTAAGGGTCACAGGCTGGACTGGTTGGCTTACGGTGCCCCTTTTGGCCACATCATCAGCAGTGTTCTGGGGACTGTGAGTGCTTGGGCATCTCCACTTGGGTTTGGGGGTTCCTTTAAGACACAGACTGTACTGTGTCTTTCTTCCCTCTAGCCCAAAGTGCCCAAAACTATGTATACAGCAAGTGCTCCATTAACACTTATTGTGTTCTCTTTCTCTCTCTTGTCCACTGGTGAGAGGAGCCAAAGAACCCTGGTCTTTGGGTCCTTACCAGGGACCTCTCAGACTTTAACCCTGAGGAGAGTGAGAAATCGTCCTCCCTTGGAACTGGGTCAGGGTTCTGCCAGGCCTCCTGAGCACTCAACCATAGGACCAAAGCTAGTGGCAGTTTTCCTGGCGATCTGAGCCATCAATCTCCCCATGGAAAGGAAGCTCTGTCACTCCTGCCTCTTGCTTTAGGACTGATTCACTCCAGGTTCCCCAGAGTGTCAGCCAATAAGAATGGTGCTGTGTTCCAGGCGATGCCTTCCTCAAAGCACACACCCTTGGACAAGACTGTAATCACTCCCGTTTTCCTGGAGATGCCTGGGATGCTTCCTGTTCCTCCTTCCTGAGCCCAGACTGAGGAGCCCCGGGCCACCAGTCCCCATACACCTTGGCAGTAGTCTTGCCTCGTGGCCTTCACTTACTGTCTGTTCCCTGCCCAGTCCTGCACTTTGTGAATCTGGCGCTCCACAGAGATGGAGGTCCGCAGCGTCCCCAGGGAGTTCTCCATCTGCACCTGTTCTCCCACACAGCCTCCCCTCCGGCACACTCCCTGGTACACCTCCCGAGACTTCTTCCGGAATCGCTTGCCCACGATCACATACACCAGTGGGTTGAGGCAGCTGTTACTATAGCCCAGGTAGGAGCTGATCTGCGTGATGACATCGACGATATGCTGATTCCAGCAACCGGAGAGCACCCCAACACGCACCAGCGTGTCCAGGAAGGTGCTTATCTGGAAGGGCAGCCAGCACAGGATGAAGAGAAGCAGCACAGCCAGGACCAGCACCGTGGCCTTCCTCTCCGTCTGGATCTCCTTGAACTTCTGCATCTCGTTGTTCCTTAGCACGTGCATGATCTGCACAGTGCAGAAGGTGATGATGCTCAGGGGGAGCAGGAAGCCCACCAGGTTCAGCAGCACGTTGGTGAGCACCTCCCAGGTGTGGGATGGGTAGCGGATGACGCAGGCCGTGACGTTGTGACCCTCGTCGCTGTACTCTCTCATGGTCCTGAACGCCAGCATGGGTGAGCTCAGGAGCAGGGTGCAGCCCCAGATCACCAGGCTGTAGACCTTGGCCCAACGCACGCCGCGCATCCTGCCCATGGACATGGTCTTTACGAGTGCCAGGTAGCGGTCTATACTCACGAGCATCAGGAAGCAGATGCTGCTGTAGAGATTCATGTAGATCATGGTGTTCACCACGCGGCACAGCACCTCCCCGAATAGCCAGTCGAAGTTATTGGCGATGGTGATGGCCCAGAAGGGTAGCCCAAAGGCCAGGATGAGGTCTGCAGCCGCCAGGTTGCCCAGGTAGATCTCTGCCACCGTGCAGCTGTTCTTGTGCAGGCAAAACACACTAAGGACAAAGATGTTCTCTGTTGCCGCTAGCAGGAAGAGGACCCAAAGGAAGGGGGCCTGTGTGGCATTGAGCCAGCTCCACCAGGCCTCCGTGTCCGGGCAGTTGTCCTGCTCAGGAAGGGTCCGGTTAAGAGCAGACCCAAGGACTTGCGTGGTGATGTTGAACATTTCAGAGCTGAAAGAGTGGAAAAGGGGCAGTTACACCAGCAGGTCACAAGGGGGAGGAGGAAGGTCCCTCTCCTCAGCTAAAGGCTCTTCAGGGCGGCAGGGATGTGAGAGCTTGGAGGAACTCAAGCTTGTTTGCAGCCAGTGCTAGGGGACACCTGAGTCCCTGGGCCCTAGAGAACTCCTCCATCTGTGGGCCTAAAGGGACACAGCGTTTCTTTGGGGCTTTGCCAGCATGTTTCTCTGGCCAGCGTCCATCCTCACTGACAATCAAGGTTCTTATGCCTGGGGCATAAGAAGCTTCAATGGTGAGATGATGCCCTCTCTCCCTCCTTTCTCAGGGAGTCATCATCTTTTAGCCTCTCAGAGCCGGGTCATGAATGAGCAATGAAATAGACCAGAACAATGACTATCATGCCAGGCAGGGAGATTGCAGCTTGGTCCCAAGAGCATAGCACATCCACTCACTTCCTGTCTCTCTGGACAGCCTGTGTCTCCTGGCAGAGGGAGGATCTTATTCCCACGCCTGCCCCCACCAAAGCTTCAAAGATGAGAAGGGTTTCATGGTGGAGAAGAAGGCCAGGCCTTAGAACCCAACATTCCTTCCAAGTTCAAATCTTCGTTCCTATATGTATTAGATATGTGACTTTGGACAGTTACTTAACTTTTCTGAACCCCTAACTAGTAAAATGAGAATAATAGAATTTACTTCTTAGGATTGTGATGGAGATTAAAAAAATGAAAAAAAATAAAAAGGCCCCAAGCACTGTATTTGTTTCAACAAACATGAGTAATTTTCTATTGTTGTCAGCCTATTAAAACAATCAATATCAAATCCAATGTTTTCAGACTCTTGCATCTGTTGTGGTGGACGAGACCAAACCTTGACCAGGACTACTTAGATGTGCATGCCTCTGGCCCTCTATTGAAACTTTGGTCTCACTTCAGGACCCCGAAGACAGACTTGAAGAAATCACTGGATCTCTTTGTCCCTCCTTCCAATGTGACCATTGCTTTTACTATTAACTTGGCTGTTTTTTAAATGTTATTTTATGTGTGTGAGTGTATTGCTTGCATGTATATAAGTGCTCCCTTGTTGCGTGATGTCCGTGGAGGTCAGAAGATGGCATTGGATCCCCTGGAACTGGAGTTAGGATGGTTGTTAGTGGCCTTGTGGGTGCTGGGAACCGTTCCTGGGTCCTCTGCAAGACCAGCCAGTACTCTTAACCACTGAACCATCTCTCCAGCCCCTAACTTGGCTGTTTTAGTTGGCTTCTAGAGGATGGGTGGCTGAACTTGATTTCTTAGAGTACAGAGACCCCAAGTTAACATTGAATGAAGGGCTGACGAGCTTTGAAGGGTGGCCCCAGATGTAAGAGAAGGTAGGTGAGAGGTAAGACTGAACAAGAGAAGAGAGGTCTCCTCCACTGGTTGCCTTGAGGATATTACAGAGGGGCCAAGGAGTAAGGCCCATGTTCTGGAAAGATCCCTCCTGGTAGCATGGTGGTTTTTTAAATTTCTTTTTTATAGCTGGGCATGGTGGCACACGCCTTTAATCCCAGCACTCTGGAGGCAGAGGCAGGAGGACCTCTGTGAGTTTGAGGCCAGCCTGGTCTACATAGTGAGTTCCAGGCCAGCTGGGGCTACAGGGAGACCCTGTCTCAAAAAGATTAAAAACTTTTCTTTATTATTTATTTATTTTTAAGTTTATGAGTGTTTTGCCTGCTTGTATGTAAGTGTACTCATGTCATGTGGTGCTCATGGAGTCCAGAAGAGGGCGTTAGATCCCCTGGAATTGGAGTTTCAAATGGTTGTTAGCCAACAGGTGGGTGCTAGGAACCAAACCTGGGTCGCCCAGTGCTCTTAACCACTGAGCCATCTCTCCAGTCCTGTAGGTTGGTTTTAAGACATCCTGAAATTCTGTTACACCTCCTATGGGTGTGGTTGGGCTTAGTGACCTGCTGTTGACCCATAGGAGCAGTAATGGCGTGTACTTCCAAGGTGGGTCATTCAATGCACTGTAGCACCTTCCTGACTGTACAGACTGCTAGCTGTGGGAAGCCAGCCACCCTGGGGTGAGGACACACAAGTGCTTTGCAAGTGGAGCCAGCAGCCCCAGTGTGGTCTGCTTTGTTTCTGCTCTCACAGCTCAGCCTCTACCAGCTAAGCCCAAGCATCATGTAGCAAAGACAAGCTGCCTGCAGGGTGCCCTGTATCCTGACCTGCAGCACAGGTAGCTTCTCTCTGGAATCCTCCAGAGGTGAGACGTCCCCAGAGTGTGTCCTCAGTCCAGTCTGTGGCCGCGTTTCTGTGGCTGTGGAGAGCTCATGCCTTTATAGTGGCTTGGGGAACTGCTCTCTCCCATGGATTTGATCACTAGAGACTAAAGTCTAGCATCAAATGCTGATGGTAATTTCTAGCCAGATATTTGATATTCCATGTATCAGAGTGCTGGCCCATGGAGGCTCCAAGAAGTCCCCAGAGGGCCAGGAGGCTGCCTGGCCGATGTACATTGAGAGATATAAGAACAGTGCTCCATGGCCTTCAGGGACAGCCATCTCTGCTGTACCCACCACAGGATGGAGAGGACAGGCTGGGCCCCTCTGCTGTCCTGCCAGCACTGGCTGCTCATACAGTCACTGTCCCCAGCCTCTGCTTTGGCTCAGTACCTCCCAAGGCTTCTGTTAGTGGCTTGTCTTCCAGCAGATGTCAGCTACATGGTGACTTATCTATACAGCGCATGCCCCTCTAATCTGTTGGTCACCAACGGCAAGGTTTGACTCTCTTACCTTCATTTCCAAGTTCATTTCTTGGGTTGCTCACCTGTGATGAAAATGGATTTGTCCTGCCTCTCTCCCAGTCCTACAAAGGCCCACACCCACCGGGCATGGTGGCACATGCCTTTAATCCCAGCACTTGGGAGGCAGAGGCAGGTGGATCTCTGTGAATTTGAGGCCATCCTGGTTTACATAGGAGTTCCAGATTAGCTGGGGCCATAGGGAAACCCTGTCTCAAAAAAAAAAAAAAAAAAAAAAAAAAAAGCCCACTCCCTCTAATCCCCACAAGCCTGTGGGGAATGGAACTCTTAAGAGCTTTTGTCTTTGAGCCTAACATGGGGTTCTCCTTCAGCTGTGGCTCAGGACAGGATGTAGCCCTCTTTGGGGTCCTAGTATGACTGATAGTGAACTGAAGACCCCCTTGACTCACCCAAAAGAGGCTGTGGTGGGCATAGGGTCCTCATGCACAGACAGGAGCATGGGTCGCTTCCAGGAAGAAAGCATCGGGACTTAGAGTGGGACTGAGTGAGGTGTCTCCTGGGGGACAGAGGAGAAAGCACAGTTAGTTGCAGTGCTCGGAGCACTTATCCTTCATGGTCCTCCATGAGCAAGCGAGATGGAGTCTGCAGGGTCTTTCTCTGGATACATTCATGTGTATTTATCACACGATGAATTACAGACACACGTGGTGCATGCAGGCACAGGGCCTGCCTTCTGGGATCTCACAGGCTATGGAGAAGCCAGCAGTCACTCAAATAGTCATTAAGATTTGCCAACCAATATCAAGTGCAAAGCTAATGACAGTGGTATGGGTTGGCTGTGTCCCCCAAGGGTTCCTGTGTTGGAAGCTTTGTTTCCTGTGTGGCCGTGTTGAAGGTGGTAGAATCTTTATTATTTATTTTTTAAATTTTATTTATTATTTTTATTTTATGTGTATGTGTGTATTGCCTACATGTAGGTTAGTGCACCCGTGTCGTGCAATGCCCGAGGAGGTCAGAAGAGGCTGTTGGATCCCCTTGACTACTAATTTTTATATTGAATTCCTTATGATCTGGGGGAGTTAATATAACCATTTTGGGTGCCAGGATTGGACGCCATCTCTCAAAGGTGGTGGAATCTTTACAAGGTGGTTGTCTTAGTTTGTTCTTCATTGCTGTGACAAAACACTCTGACCATTACCAACTTGGGGAGGAAAGGGTTTATTCAGCTTACATCTCCCAGGTCACAGTTCATCTGGGAGCCCAAGGTAGGAACTCAGGGCAGGAACCTGGAGGCAGGAGCTGGAGCACAGGCCATGGAGAAATGCTGCTTACAGGCTTGCTCCCCTGGCCCCTGCTCAGCCTGCTTTCTTATGCAACACAGGGCCACCTGCCCAGGGGTGGCACCACCCACAGTGGGCTGGGCCCTCCCACATCACTCATCAAGAAGATGCCCCTCAGACATGGCCACAGGCCAGTCCAATAGAGGCAATTTCCCGATTGAGGCTCCCTCAACCCAGGTGTGTCAAGTTGACACTAAAGCTACCCAGCACAGTGGTATTACTGTTTCAGTCTCAACTGTCCCCCACAGGCTCATGTTTTGAAGCTTGGTCCCCAAGAGTTGAAGCTAGGGGAAACCATAAAGTCTTCAGATGGTAAGGTCTGTCTGGCAGAGGTGGGTTGCTAGGCTCAGGCCTTCGAAGTCACTCTGCTTCCTGTCTGCTGCTCTGTGAATGGTCTCTACCACATGCCCCTAGTGCCATGAACTCTGCCGTACCTTCTCTGCCATGACAGACTGAGACCCTATTGGAGAGCCCTAACAAACATTTCATTCCTTCGGGTGTTTCTGTCAGGACTCAACGTGACCTGGTACTCCTGCCTAGAAGGTGTGTAAGAAGCTGGGGTGCATGCATTTGTTTGTACACATTTGGGTATGCATAAGTGTTCACAGGTGTACTAGAGATATGCCCACCCAGCTGTCAGCTACTCCTAAGCTAAGTGGCTCTGCACACAGCACAGGCACCTGACTTCAGAAGCTGGTGCCTCCCAGTTGAGCAGTGGGAGGGGAAACCAGTACCGGCAGCTCAGAGGGGAAATGAGATGTGCAGGGGAAGACACCAACTGACCCTGGGGAGAGATTTATTGGAACTCCCTAGAGCTAAGCCAGGATTTGGAACTCACAAGAGCTGTAGTGAACCCTGAAGCGCTTCTGCTCCTCCAAGGAGGGGAGTTGGGGGAAGAGAAGAAAGACCCCATAGCTGGTCTTTGGGGGGATGCTTCCTGGCTCTTTGGGGGGAAATCCAGCTGCGGATCCGAGGCCATTGCTGGATACACTATTTTAAGGACATGTTAAGAATTATTGGGGTATGGAGCTAGAGAGATGGCTCAGTGGTTAAGAGCACTGACTGCTCTTACAGAGGACCCCGGTTTGATTCCCAGCACCCATATGGCAGCCTTCTTTTGACCTCTGTGGCATTGCATGACACAGGTGCACTCACATACATGCAGACAA